TAACACCTTCAGGTGTGAGGTGGCTCTAACGTGCCTTTCTGTGATCCCCAGTGAGGTGGACCGTCTTCGCATTTGCTTGTCACCCATTTCGCTTTCCACTTCTGTGACTCGCTTCTCATAGCCTCTGGTCATTCTCCCGTTGGATTTTTTGTTTTTCTTACTGATTTATGGTGGTTCTTATATCCTGTTCAGATATACATGCTGTAAATACCCTCTCACAGCCTGTGGCTCAAACATTCACTTTTTACAACAGGAAAGTTCAAACATATGCAAAACGGTGTTGGAACTATTTAATGAAACCCTCGGCACTTAGCCTTAACAGTGATCAACTCTGGGTCGTTCTCGCTTCATTCATAATCAGTTCAGTCCCTTCCCAATACAGATTGTTTAGATCATGTCCAAACCATGATATTATTTTATTCATAAATGTTTCAATATTTGTCACTTAAAGATACTTACAGTACTATTATCATGCATAAAAATTATTGGGAACTCCTTAATATTCTCAAATGTCCAGTCAGTGTTCAATTTTCTGCAGTTTTCTCAAACGTTTTTTCAATTCCTGTGCTCTAATCAGGACTCTAATGAAGTGCATATTTGGCCGCTGGGTGACAGGTCTCTCGAGCCTCTTGTAATCTGCTTGGTCCCCTCCACCTTTCTCTTTTACCCCCCTTGCCTTGTGTTGTTCCCATCGAAGGAACTTGGCCCTTTGAACTGTAGTTTTCCTAGGTAGGATTTTGTCGATGGCCACCCTGCGGTGACACCATGTTTCTCTGTCCCTTGCCTTCTTGAGATTTGGTCGTGAGCTCTAGAGGCTTGAGTTTCTGCCGCCCCAGCGGTGCACAGGTGGGGGGGCGTGCACTGCTGTCAGGGGGCGCACGCATCGGCCTTGGGTAAGCACTGTCGGTGATGCCACGTCACACCCGTGTTTGTGCGAGGCCAGCATGTGGCTGTCGAGAGCCCCAGGGCGCGTCCCTGATCGGGTTTGTTTTCTTGACCCCTCACGAATCCAAGACTTGACACAGGCCTTTGTGGTTCTTTAACTAGGGAGATCTGTGTTCTCTAAGAGGGAAACACACTTAGTTAGCACTTACTGGGCACTAAGACCCCTCCGTGGAGGTGATGTATCTCCGTTCGTAGGTTGTCTGAGCCTCAGAGACGCCCCAGATCTTTCAGTGAGTATTTTGTGGAGTTGGATTCAAACTCGGATTTAATCACCAAGTCTCTTTCCTTTCTCCACGCTCCACTGACCCTAGGGAATTTGGGGGAGCAGGTATGGGAGGTCCATTATGTTACCCACTGACCTACTGAGAAGGTCCCACGGGTCCCTCTGCAGCGGCCTTCCCAGCTCGGCCGCACATCAAGACTTGGGCAGTGTCTTACGTGCTTACGTGTCTTGCTGCACCTGCAGCCGAGAAAGGACAGCGGGCTCACAAGGGTGGGGAGGTCCCGCTGCTGCCTGTTTCTGGTGTGAGGGGGCTGGCCTGAGGGTGGGCCAGTCTCTCCATCTCTGTCCGATGCAAGGGTCCTGGCGTGCCCCAAGGTCTGCCTTGGCGGAGAGGGACCTGATGGCCAGTGAGGACCAACGAGCAGTCCCATTGCTCAAGGTAGGTTCAGTTTGGACCCTGTAGGAGTCCCTGCACATCCTTTATGCTGGAAGACGGGTGATTATCGTCAGTACAGACACATTTCCAGAGAGCAGCCTCGGTGCTTTAGTCCCCGGCGCACGACAAAAACAACATACCAGCCGGTACAAATCAGTAACTCCACTTTGAGCAGCTGACATTTATTGAGTAATTGATGTCCTAGCAGTAATTACTATTCTGATGCCGTTTTGCAGAAGAGGAAACTGAGGCTCAGAAACGCAGTGACTCAGCTACCGTCACACAACGAGAAGCGTCAGGTCTGCGTCTGTCTGCCTTGAAAGATTGCATTTTTCTTTAAACAGTGTAAGCTTACAAAATTTTGGACTCTTGACAGAAGTTCTTACACCCGTGTTAAAAAGTGTAAAAGGGCGTTCAGGGACAACAAATCTCCCTCCTATCCCTGTCCCCGTTTCCTGCCTGGAGGCAGTGACAATGACCCGTCTTGGGTTTGTTTTTCCAGACGCCTACACGTTTTAGTAACATTACCCGCTGTTTTCACCGTTCTGTGTATTACTTCCCCTGACTTAACAAATCCTTTAGAGATCTTTTTATTTTACTTTACACGTAGGTCTGTATCATTCTTTTTAAGAACTGTATCATGTTCCCTTGAATTAGCAATACCATAATTATTTACCTAGGCACCTATTGATGGATGTTGAGTTGTTTCCCAGTTTTATTTTTACCACTCTGTTGGCATAGCTTTCTTGTGAAACCCCGTATTTAGATGAGAAGGTTGTCTGGCAGCTTGCGGGGCTCAGCTCGGAGGGCCAAAGCCCCAGAGATCTTGCCTTGCAAGACCCCGGGGCGTCGGAGAGGACCATCGCCTTCGTCCATCTTCCTCTGCCTTTCCGAGGGCCCGCATCCATCAGGGGCTCACGATTTATCAATTTCCAGCACTGTCAGGCACACTTTGTGTCTTTGCCTTTATTCTCATTTATCTTTGAAGGCAAGCATGTGAATCAAGTGGGATGTTTATCCTCTGTTATAAATACGGCAGCCGAGACGCAGAAGGGTCTAGCCCCACTGGCCTCCTCGTTATGCTCCACCGCGGGACCGGGCCCCCTGCCCATCAGCTTTCTTCTGCTCCAGGCCCCTTGCTTCCTGCAGGGCCTTTGCTCCTGCTGTCCCCTCTGCCTGGAATATCACTCTGGGCCCAGGTAACTCACTCCTCAATATCAACTCATCACTTCTCGGGAAGCCTTTCTGATGCTCCGACAAGGTCACAGTTTCCATATTGAGTAGGATGCTTGGATGGGTCTCTCCCTTCTTCCCTTAACGTAGTTTATCTGTCACTGAGCAGCATCTGCCTCCCCTGCTCCCCAAGGGCAAGTTCCGAGTCTCTTGCTGTTCCCCGCGAATCCT